AGGATCACTAGGAAGGGGATCCCCCCCAGCTCTCTGCACTGCTTCTCTTGCAGGGATTTTGGTAAACAGAGCTGGTTTTACTACCATGTCCAAGGGCAGGTTGTTTCAGAGCATCTCCCAGGGCTGGAGCAGGCTGCTTCCCAGCTGTTGGCATTACAGAGAAGGCCAGAGGGCTCGTCTGTCTAAAGTCATTTACATTCCTTGGCCAGTTTGACCCTGGCAAGCGCAAGAAATTGATAATCTACTTATGTCAATTCAGCAGGAGCAAAATGAAAGGCAGCATCCAGGTCTTGGCAAGGGGCTCTGTGAGAGCCATGGCTGGCAATTAGGAGAGCAAGTTGCTTGCCTGCAGGCTGGTGCATGAAGAGGTAAAGTCCTATTTCACCACCTCATCTTGGGACCTGCTGAAGTAGCTGGGGGATGAAACGCTTGTCTTTCTCCTGCCCGGGGCATCAAGTTTTATTTGCTACCTGGAATCCTGTGTGTGGTGTGAAGCCCGGCCTGCTCCTGCATACAGGAGCAAGCAGAGGGAGGAAGCACCAAAAGCTGGAGTCTTTGATGATATGGCCAGGAGGTACAGCGGACATCAATCCCAGCTGCTTCAGCTGAGAGTTTGGCTTTGCAAAATGAATTTTTAAGTGGTGAGGCACAGAGGAGGGATTTCAGAGCCAGCTCAGAAGGGGAAGGAAGGTTTTGAGGACTGTCGTTGCCTCTTGGAGAGGCTTTGGAGCAGTTTCTAAATACAGCTTTGGGATGTTCTTTGTGCCTTCTTTATAACAGTGAAGTCAAAGCTCCAAAGAGTTGGTCATGCTGGCAGGGAGGGCTCCTGAGCAAGGCCGCCCTTTGCTTCTGACATGGAGGTCTGGATGGGCCAAGAGCAAAGGGGAGTGCATGTAGCCTGATTTTGGAGAGCCCTTCCCTGCATAGTTCTCCTAACCTGTGCTGACTCTTGGACCTCCAGCTGGGAGATTTTAGCCTTAGGAAAGTGTGGGGGGGTTGTTAGTTTTTTTCTTTTTTGTTTTTATGTTGTATTTTCTCTTCCTGCATGTTCCCCTCTGTGTTCTCTCTCTTTCCCGACCCACCTTTTCATTGTCTGTGTCCTCACCTAGCATTCAGCCCCTCACACCCAACCCTTTCTCCCTTCTGCCTACTTTCTTTAGAAAAACAAGCTGTGAAGCTGCTGCCGGGAGCAGCTATCTCAAGCAAAGGCTGTTAGGGAGGTTTGGGTCCAGGTGCACAGCCTCTGACTTGCAGTAGATGTGGGTGTAGGAAGAGAGTTATGAAGTCCGGAGAAACGAAAGGACCCTGCCAAGTGGCACTAGCACAGGGGGAGCTTGAAGAGCACAGCAGAGGAGGCTTGAGTGGTTTCAAAAAAAGGGAATAGCATTGAGGCTTGGCTCCCCCCTGCACCTCCCCGAGAGGACCCTGTAGCCCAGCTTCACCATCATCACGGGAGCTTGGATGCTATTAGGCAGTTCATTAGTAAAACCTCTGAGCAGTTCCTGCTGCCATTGAGTACCCATTAATGCCTCTTGAGGGGAGAGGAGAGCATTGGAAAAGCACAAAAACAATCTGAGGGTCCTTGATCTCTTTTTGGTCTGAGAGATTGTGGGCTGAGTTTGGAAGGGAAGAGGGGCCGGGCAGGGACACCAGGCATGAAAGCAGCACTGTGGTTATCTGCTGGAGTCTGAGTGCAAAAACATAACCTGACTTGAACTGTTACTTCTCAAAGGCTCCCAAGGGGTGCTGTAGCGTTATAAACACCTACTCACCAACCCGCTTTGTGCACATCTTGAGCCAGGTATTCCTGCACCAGAGGGAAAGCCAGCAAAACCTGTACAGGTGTCCTTAACAGCTGCAGTTGGGCTGTGGTAAACCATCCCTGCTGCTACAGTATTTGACCTGCAGGGTCTGTCCCCTTCTCCTTGCTTGCTTGTGTATACAGTCAGCTGTTAAAGGACACTGACATCACTTAATTAATGGTTTAATTGAATCTCACAAAGGGATCGAAATTGGCTGCCTGACTCGTGTCACTGAGATGCTCACATAAGAAACAGTAAATCACCAATTCAGCAGATAAAGCTGCAGCTCTAGGTAGAAAGTCCTTGTTGTTGGGGATAGGGAAATTATTCCTCTTTGTAGAATAATATACTGTTAGGGAGAAGACTGAGGGCTATTTTTCCAAGCTACCAGGTGCCATCCCTGTCCAAGGGAGGGATAACTGAGTTAGTCTAACTCCCCAAGGTGGTATGGCACTCATTAAGGGGTAAACAGACCTGAGGCAGCATTTTATCTTAAGTCAGAAGACTGTTTTGTGTTTCAGCCCCTGTATGGTGGAGAAAGGTCCGTGTGGTATTTTAAAACAGGGCAAAACCCCAGAAGGGCCAAAGTTGAACCAGGGTGAAGCTTTGTGGTTGGTAGCAGTTCTGAGCTTGTTTCATGGAAGAGGGCTTCTTGGAGAGTAGGAAATCAAAAGTTAGGAGGGAGTGGAGAGAAAAATGTCCCAAAGCAATGGGGAAGCCCAAAGGGAGAGGTTGTGACTCTAATAAGGGTGCAAATGCTGTGGCCGTGCTACTGACAGGTAAAGTAACTGCTGCTCAGGAGGAACGTGAGCCAGTAGAAAACAGCATTCCACCCAGTCGCCAAGAAAAGCAGTTAGAACTGGTAAAAACCAGTGACTGGCTAAAAGCAGGCCCTTAGTTAATAGTTTGATCTAAAAGGTAAGGAAATAATTAAGTGCCATTGGTGCCTATTAATTCCCTGCAAGACGAACAACAATAGTGAGTTTTAAGACTTCTTTCACTGTACAGCACGTGCAGGAAGGAGCGGCGGAACCCTTGCACAAGGTGGGAGAGCTTGCTTTCTGCTGCTGCGCTCTCCCACTCTGCTGACAGCTGGCCCAGAGTGTGCTCCAGAATAAACAGCTCAGACTAAGCATTAAGTTAGGACATGGCTTTGGAGGTCTCCATCAGGGCAGGAGAAAAGGCGGGTGGAAAATGTGAGTTCAACGAAAAGCTGCACAACTGAAGCACCATGCTGGGGAGCTCAGGGAGGGTATGTGGAGCTGGGGGTTTGGGAGGCAGATACTGCGCGTTACTGTACAGATCCAGGCACTGAACCATGGAGAATAGCATCAGTGTCTTCTGTCCAGCTGAGAGTGTGCTCTATAAATAAATGTCAGTTGGAGGTGGAAGTAAGGGTGGCTACCAGAACTAGGCAGGGCAGACAAGGAGATAAAACTTCCCACTGTATAAGCAGTGGTAATGCAGTGGCACGCTTCATAAAATGCTCACAAATGCTCAGAAACCAAGAGCGTTAAGGAGTGGCCTTTACAAAGGGCACAGCCTTGATTCTAAGTCTGGATAAGACAAAGATTTATTCTTGTTGCTTTCTGACTCTTAAGTCACCCACCTATTCTTCCCTGAATTTCAGAAGGACTGCAGATCTCTTCTCAATCTTATTTTTCAATTTGTTCCATCGTCTTTATCTGACATGGGCGCTTCTTCATTGACACGACGAGCAGCTTGTGGTAGAGAAGGGTAGTGTTTGGCTCTCTCAGTGCCTGCCAGCGTGGACTGGTGCTCCTCCTTTCTTAGGGCTGATCACTGCGCTTGGCCCAGAAACCAGTCCAGCCTTGCTGTAAGGCACATTGGTGTTCACACACGCCTTCCCCAGCTGGCTGCCCAGACACTCAAGAGAGTTAATATTTGCAGTTTATAGCTGACCTAGTGTCTCCTCCTTAAAAAAGAGGAATATGAAGTCACTAGAAGCTCAGCCATATTTCTAGAGCAAGGGGGAAAGCTCTTCTAGGAACAAACATCTAGGGAAGAACCTCTCTTCCTTGTCAAACCTGTGATGGCTGAAGGAACTTCCCTTTCAGATTCAAATTCAGACAGTTGGAGTAAGGTAGGGGATTTATCTGAATCTTTTTCTCTCAAATGCAACTCAACACACTGTTCTAAGCAGACCGATTTCTTTCAAAACCTGCTGTATGCTGTTCAGCCCCACGAAGGAGGTTCACTGCCTTGTTGCCATGGTACCCTTTCTCTAAAGAGGAATAGTTAATTATGCAATTTAAGAAACTAAGGAGGAATAAAAGAGAAATAATAGATATGAAGATTCTGGGTTTGTGATAAACTGCTGGTCGCACCAAAATACTCTTTTCACAGGTGAAGCATTTTCCCAGTGTATGCTGCATAGGGCCAGGGCTTCTCTGGCAGTGTGGGTTTCAAGGAGGTGCCTTTTGGTGTGCAGTGTGCCTCTCCCATCCAGGAAATCAATCATGTAATCAGTTACTGCCGTTACCTTCCCTGGTTAATGCTCCCAGGGCCTCAGACATATTTCCTTGGCAGAAATTCTCTCTGGAAGGAGCTGGGACAGCAATAACACATCACAGACCCATGACAAGCTCATGCTGCCTCTGGATATACAGAGGTACAGTTCACAACTTAAATGTTTTAAATTTCCTTGTTCCTTAGGCCTACTAACCCCCTGCCTGCTTTCCCCTGGACCCCAGAAAATCCAGTTCGTGGTGCACAAGGCAGGACTGAAGAGTGCAGACATCAAAATTGGCAAGATCCCAGCCCCTTTAGAAGGACTGGCATTTTCCATTTGCCAATTGCAAAATTGGGTGAAACAAAGCACTGCAACAGATCTTTGCCAATAACGGATCCAGACTACAGCTCCACACTGTACAAAGAGGAAGAGTTGCCTCTTGCATGACACCCTGAGCTCTGCAAGCCAGGGAGAAGGGGAAGAGTTACCCCATGCCTTGTTTCCAAATGTGTGCAGCGAGAAAAAGAAGGAAGGAAGATGATATGACCCCATGCAGTTGTTTACTACAGATGACTAGAAGGAGATCAAGACCTCAAGCTCCCCTTCCACCTAACAAGGGCAATAATAGCATGGAGGGCTGGACAAGAGCCACATACAGTGCTAAGAGGAAGAGAGCAGGTGAGAGGTAATAATAATCAAAAATACTTATGGGAACGCAGCAGGAATGGCTGTCAAAAGACCAACATTTTAATCAACAAACTTTGTACACAAGAGGCTTCCCACTAAGGAAGTACACGTACTCCTGCTTCTACCACCAGCCTCTACCACCTGGGCTTTTAAGACTCAGGATGGTCTCTGTTCTTCAAGCTTCTCTCAACAAGTATTTCCAGGGAGGGTGGTTTTCCAGAATCTGTCACAGGAGCAACATTCAACCCAGTCACTGTGGCACAAACTGATGTTGAAAGCCGTGTGTCTCTTCCACTCCCCTCTACATTCTCCTGGCCTTCCGTGGGCGGCAGCCGTTGTGTGGAAGCGGCGTGTTGTCGGTGATGGAGATGACCTCCAAACCTCCCATAGTCAAACCCTTGATGGCAGCCTGGAAGAACAAGACAGCAGATGACCCACTGTTACCAACACATTGAATGGCAGAGAAGGGAAAAAGCTCAGGGGAAAATAGTTTGGTCCTCCATCCAAAAATCGACTTGTTTCAAGGGTCCTGCCTAGAAATTACTTATTTTTAAGATAATTACAATCAGAAAATCTAGTTTAAGCCTAGCTGCTCCAGTCCCTTCATCAGCATTCCCATCAATTTTCCTACTTTAGTTGGATGAAATTCTAAAATTTCATTACTGGACACTTGAGTGATGAATCCTTTACATCACCTTCAGAAAAAACAAATCGATAGGTATGGTCACGAGACCAGCCTGAATTTAAAAAACCTGGATGATGCCCGAGAAAGAAAAATATGAAAAGAAACTGTGATGCTTACTTTGCGTCCTGGTCCTAGTCCTTTCACCATGACTCGTACATGCAATACACCCTTTCCACGTGCTTTCTGCAAAAAGAAAAGTGGTTAGTGTTCCCTTTGATATAATTACTGCTGCTCTGGCTCCTTTGGAGACTTTCATTCCCTTCTGATCTACTATCATAGTATTCTTTAACTAAAAATAAAGAGTAGGTAGTACTCGATACAGAAGACAAATATAGATATTACAGCACAAAGACACTAGGGGAAAAGGAGGCCTGGATACAGCCATGGCAGTTTCAAGAGAACTTCTGGGCTAGGCTGTCAGCTCTGCCTACAGAGAAAGCTTTAAGATCAAACTATCTGTGACCTAAAGCCAGGGCAGAAAATGACATTCAGGCATACGTGACTGAACTGACAAGGGACTAACAAGGACTAACTCAAAGCCGTTTTCCTTTCTCTAATGCAGCAACTTCTCTCCTGTGATCAGTGGATTCCTTCTAGAGAGTAAATTAGAAAAGCAGGCAAGCTTTATATTTGCTGTGCAGGAGTCCACACCTTCAGTGTAAAAATTCTAGGGGTTTGCAAATTGAAAAACACCTGCGGTAAAGCATAGCTGTGCTGCCACCACGTGGATGGAGCTCCTCTGGTCTTGCTTTCTGTGTACTGGTACAATTAATGTGCTAACAATTTTAACAGTGACAGAATAAACCTGGCCAAGCACAGCTATGCAGCTATTACGAGGCTCTGATGAGCACAGATTAATACTGAAGATGTTCTTATATTCCTCTGAGTCAACTACAATAAGCTGTTGGCCAGCAGTAGCACCAAACACCTCTGACATGAAAGACTGGAGTAAGTTCCACCTCATTTAGGATGAGGATTTTCAGTTTAACCTTGCCTCATTCTACAGTAATGAGGACCATGACACAGCCAGCCTCATCTTCTCCTGCCACCTGGACACCCACATGTTTTTTTAGAAACAATTACAGTAAACTCTATGCAGCTGGAAGCTCTGTGTGCCAGGACATCACCTTTCTTGACTGGAACTGCTGGCAGCAGCTCAGTTCTCTGGTGGCAGAGATCAAATATAAAACATGCAGCCAGTAATTACAGCTGCTTCTCAGTCCCCTACAGTGCAAAAATTGAACTGCTGCTGATTCAGGGGCTGTATTTCCAAAATGGCTGAGATGTTCACTTAGAAAAAAGGAGCTATGCAAACTGAAGCTAGAAAAGGATAGATTCCAAGTTACATTTCCCCATCACAACCTGCACAGCTAAGTTCACCCTCTGGGCATTTCTAACTGCTGTTTTAAACACGTTTTGTCTGTGTGAAGATGTGCAGTGTGTCAGGTGAAGCTAGGGAAGCTGTCAGCAAAAAGCAGTGTGCTGCTTGAGCGCTAAGGAACAGAGCTCTGGACTGCTGCCTGGGAGCAAGGCCTGTACCCAGGTAGTGGGGGGAGGCAGCCAGTGCTCCCCTCTGGGAGGGTAAGAATTATCAGTGCAGACTCACCATTGCTGCTGCCATGGCTGCAGTCTGTGCCGCGATGGCAGTTCCCTTCTTGGCATTCTGGAAGCCTTCTGTGCCACAGGACGTACGAGCAAATGGCTGGTTGTCAAAGCTGACCACTTGGATGTGGGTGCTACAGAAAGGGGCAATGGAAATCAGCAAGCTAGAACAAAGCTTTATTCTCCAGTTTATTCTCGCTCACCTTATTGGCACGGCTTGCCACAGGATTCCTGCCTAGCTTCTCCAAGCCACCCTAATTCAGCACTCCCTTTCGAGGTCTCCCACTTACAGGAACCTGCTGCAGAGACCTGGTCACCCTAATGAATCTGAGCGAGGTGGCAGAACATTTCTGGATAATGTATACTTTATCCAGGTACACCTCAGATACTGCTTAGCTCTTCCAGACCCACCTCACTCTCAGCATTTCACCTCTTCCATTTATTAAAAAAATGCACAACACACTTCTAGGACCTGAAAGAGTTTTAAGACACAGTAAAATATCACACTAGGGATCACTAATAAAATACAACTATCTCTTATGGAGAATCTGACAATTTTTTCAACAGCTGTACAATAATAGTGCTAGAACACTGGGCAGGAAGTAACCCACCATTAAAGCTGTAAGCATCTAATTATTCATATCAGAAAGCAGTCAATTGTGTAATAACAATCTTATTGGTGTTAAAGTCACTATAAGGACAGTTATGCTCCCGAACAGCACTGAGGTTTGAATTCAGTATTATCTTCCCAGTCATGCACACCACTCCTCTGGCTTTTTTCCTTTGAGCCTTTTGATCAAAACGAGGACTAGCCAAAGCCCAGGTCTGTTACAAGATTTTATATGAGAACAGGAATGGAGCAGTTCATTTGCTTACTTGTTGTACGTAGCTTTGATGTGAGCTATTGGGATCTCTTCAAAGATCTTTCCATCCCACCTCATGGAGTTCCTCTGCAAGATTGAAGGGCTGAGGAGCAAAACAAGAGTCATCAGGCATTCACTCGTGAAATTTTGCGAAGTTTGATTTCCTACTGGGAAAGAAGGAAGGGATCAAGTTTCCTTAAGACACAAGCTGCGTTTGTGATTGAGTCAAATCACTTCCTTTCCTTCCTCGGCTGAAAAACCACTGAAGGCGAGAAAACCTCCCGGCTAGAGGCAAATAGCAGCACCCTCCCGGCGCGGCCTGCCCGGCTCACCCCAGCTCGTCCACGCTCTGGTTCTCCGCCTCCTTCGCGGCCGCCGCCTCGGGAAGGTCCTGCAGCCTCCGAGGGCCGGTGCGTAGCGGCCGGCACAGGGCGGCGGTACGGGCCCTGCGGGAAAGAGACGGCAGCCGGCGGTGAGGGCACCGAGGCCTGCCCCGTGCACCGGCTCTGTGTGGGGATGGATGGGGGGGGGGGGGGGGGGGGCGGCCCAGCTGGGTCAGCCCAGAGCGAGGAGGATCCCGCCCCGGCGGGGCCCGTCCCCGCCGCTGCTCACCCCCACACCGCTCGGAGTAGCCGCTGCCCGGCGGCGGCAGCCAGCGCCGCGCTCATGGCGGCCCCCGCAGCTCGGCCGGGAAGGGCCCGCGCGAGGCACGACGGGAGCGGGGGCGGCAAGATGGCGGCGCGCAGCGGGCTGCGCCGCGCTGTCATGGCGGCGCCCGCGCAGCCGGCGGCGCCTTGGGGCCGGTGGTTTTGTACCGCTGCCCCACCTCGGCCGTGGCGGCTCTTCGGGGCGATGTGCCTGCTCCGGCTGCCCCGCATCACGCAGCCTCTCCAGAAGGAGGAGGAAGAGATGGCGGCCCTCATGGGGCAGGTAGAGGGGGGCCGGCGGGGGGCCTGCCAGTCGGGAAATGGCCGCCTCAGGCTGGCAGGGGAGGGCACTCCCCGGGGTTGGCGGCTCTGCACAGCCGATCTGGGGTGATGTCGCTCCCCTCTGTGAAGTGATGCCCAGCGCTCTGTGTGCGATTTGCTGCCAGCACGGGATATCGTGGGCCTAGGTAGCGCTCCCGTGGGCTTCCCCAATGCTGTTGGTGTGTCCCTGATAGAGGCTCCTGCTGTGAGCAGGGAAGTTCTGCTCGATCCCAGGGCAATTCCCATCGTCTGGCATTCGCTGAGGTAGAAATAATTTAATTCTGCTTGCCAAGTCTTGACTGTAGTGCTGGGGACTTAAGAATTCTCTGCATTGTTCTTCTAGATAGAGCTGGAGAAAAGCCAGTATTCGGATCATGAACTCCGTAAGCTGGAGGAGGAGGAGCAGGTCAGGAAGAGGAGGGAAAGCCTGTATGATGATGAAGAAGCACCTGGCAAAACAGTCATCATGGCTCGAGACCTGGAGGAGAAGTGGGAAGAGAAGTTACAGAGATTTGAAGCTGCTCCACGGATAACAGGTACAGGCTGAAGCTGGCGGTGGGTGAGAACACCCCAATTGTCTGCCACACACAGCTGAGTGCAATTCAGTAAAAGGAATGCATTTGCTGAGTCTTTTTTTATTTTAAAGAGAGTCTTGACTTTGTGGCAACGCTATTAACGCATGATGAATTAACTGGCTGACAAGCAAATCAGCGTTCCTGTGTTGTGAAGAGGTGTGCAACTTCAAGAGAGCAAAATGGTGAAAATGAATGTTGTTTTCAGAGAAGACAAATGTTTGTTTGCTTGGTTCCCAAGTTCTGCCTAGTGCTTTTGTTGATTTTTGTGAAGGTAGAGATCTAGACTGCTTGCTATAAATTCCTTCTGGAAATTAAACAGATTATAGTCTAGCAGTGGGTTCCAGCTGAATCCTGCATTGGCTTCCAGAGCGACTGGGAGCATTTCTGTCTAGATTTTTGTTTTGTTCTGTGTATCCATGTTTGTGTATTATTGCTGGGAGGGTGTGAGATGTAGAGGGGGTTGATGAATCAAGGGGATCTGAGCAGTGCTGCCAAGAGACTTTGTTTCCAGCATGTGTTGGTTTTTGGCAGATGCTGATAAAAACAACTATCGAACGTCATTGAACAGGAAGCTGGACAGTAACCTGATGCTTCTGGTGAAACAGAAAATCGGTAACCAGGAGCTGTGGCTCCTGCCTCAAGTGGAATGGCAGCCTGGAGAGACGCTGCGAAGCACAGCTGAGCGAGCCATGGCTACGTTTTTGGGTGTGTAGTTTGCCATGTGCCTGTCCCTCCCTCCTCTTTGTCCCAGTGGTTTTCTTCCCATGCCTTATCTGAAGGCTGTTTGCCATCTGCTGTAGTGAAATTGCCTTCCATCTGCTGGGAAAAGGCATTTCATGGCAGGGGGATGGAGCTCAATGGGGTGGGCATTCTGGCAAGAGCCATGATCCTGGGTAATCGGTTCTGTAACGGTACCGTGGCAGAGCAACTGCAGCGTGCAGAGGGCTGGCGGGCTGTGAGTTGGGATCTCTGGCTGCCAGCAGCTGCGGTGCTGGGTCTGGCCCTCGCAGTCTGATGTGGAAGCATCACCAGACGCGTCCGTGAATGGTTTAGGCTTGCTCCAGGTGCACAGTTTCTCCTTCCCTCTTGTCACCCTTTAGCAGTTTTTGTGGCAGATGTGTGATGGCAAACCCACATGTCCTTGCTTTTTGCTGTGGGTTGGCAAAGCTTGATACCTTCTCCCTCCCTCCCTCTCTCTGAGAGGACTCACTGGACTCCAGACAAGTTGTTTTTTCGTGAGGAGAAGGCTTACAGTTGGCAGTATTTCTGCTGAGAAACAGGGAAGAGTTGGTCTGAACCAGATACAGGGAGTGGCTTATGCTGCCTTTTTGTTATTACAGGAGAGCAGTTACTTTTGCTCTGTGTTCTTATGTCTTCTTTTCTTTCTCTTGCATTGCCGGGGTCTTGCAGGAGATCACATTCAAGCCAAAATCCTGGGGAATGCGCCATATGGGATTTACAAGTATAAATTCCCCAGGGCCATCAGGACTGAGGATAACGTGGGAGCCAAAGTATTCTTCTTCAAAGCCTTCCTCCAAAGCAGTGATTTGTCCCAGGCAGACCTGAAGGAAGATTACTTGTGGGTCACAAAGGATGAGCTGGGAGATTACTTGAAGCCAGAATACCTGAAAAAAGTCAATAGATTCCTTCTGGACTTGTAAGCGATAGGCTGTGCTCCAGCAGATGGGGAAGATGTGGGACGTGACTCCAGGGAGGAGCACAGCTGCTGCTTTGCATGGTCTGTGTGTATGAGATGTTAACTTGGGCTCTGGAGGATAATTTGCCTTTGCCTTATTTCCCAGTTCTCCTCACCAGGCCTGTACTGAATAAATATTAAAATTTATACTCGGAAGTGAAGCTTTCCTGAGGGAGTTCTTTGCTCTTGTTGAATCTTCCTCCTCCACCTCTTCTGGAAATGCATGTTGTGATTTTTTTTTTTTTTTTTTTTCCTCTCCTAAGTGTGAGATTCCCTGGGGCTGTGGTACCCTGGAGGCTCGCTTTCCTCAACAGACTCCTTTTATAGGCTCAAGCTCAAATGGTTTCCTCTATGCAATGGCTATTGCTTGTCTTTAGTGCCTGCTCTTTAATAAGAGCAGCACTGGAGGGTTATCTGTGTGTGTGTCCAGGTGGGAATAGGCCCTGCTGGACACAAGGGTGGGTTTTGGGGGAGATGGAAGCTGGGATATTCACAGTTTACTGACGTTTAATCTGTGTTGAAGCTGCCTCTGGACTAGAGTCCGTGATACACAGTGGCCATAGAGGACATGGGTGCATGAGGAATAGGCAGCAGCTCTATAGGTGAGTGCTGCTTTCCCACCCACACTGCCTTCCTCTTGAGCCTCAGGCTATCGCAGCAGACACTGAAGGAGGCTAACACTTGAGCAGCAGCTCTCTGGGCTGTGAGGCTAATTTTTCTTGGTGGGGGTAGGTTGCTCTGATGTTGCTGCCTCCTGGGAGCACCCTCAGAGGTGGCTCTGGGGAGTTCTTTGCTCCCATTCCTGATGCATTAGGCCAGCACTGCTAATCCAGCTGGGTCTGCTTTGGGTAGCTTGACCCTATACCCCAATTTCTTTATTAGAAGATCTATTCTGGGCTTATATGGTGCTGTCTCACCTCTCTGGGGCTGGTTCTATTTTTTGGAGGTTTTTTTCTGGTTGTTAATGTTGCTGTTTGGTAATCAGAGTGTGGCTGGACCTTGCAGAGAATCGGCCTTCTTCATTGACAGGGAGAGAGGGAGGAAATAGCTGTTGTTAATCATTGGGAGAGAGTTCAGCCTCTAGAGGTGGAACTGGAGATTGCTATATGTATTTTATCAATCCTCTGGGAGCTGTTGAGCTGCAGGCCTCAAATTAAAGCTATCCTTAATCACTCCACAAAGCCATTGGGGTGGGGGTGTAGCATAGCAGCCTTCTATTTTCTAACACTGGGCAGTTTGGGAGCTGCAGCCTTGCCATAAATTACCAACAAAACAAAACTAGGTTTCTTGAAGCACCCTGGCAGGCCTGGCAAGGAGGCTCTGTCTGCGATAGAGAGCACTTATAAAGAGGAAATAAACGTGGAGCAGAATATACGCCTGAAAAATGGCAGATTTTTAGGCTGCTGTCTGAGCTTGGCGCTGCTGAAGAGGAGACTATTGCCTTCTCCAGGTCTGAAAGCTCCTGCAGAGGCAGGAAGAGGTGAGTCCTTCCCATCAAGCTGTGCCCCACCAACCTGGGGGGCCACGGGTGCAGTCAGCCCACCATTAGCTTTTTTTCTGCCACTCTGTTTCAGGCCATTGCTGGCTCCATAGCATGCAGCCCCTGAACAGAGCTTTGTGGGCACAGGCTTAGGGCATGCCCTTTGCCAAGGGCTCTGTCCCATTTCCCACACCAAAGGTAGGTTTTGTGTTTCTGGAACAAAAATTTCAAGGCATATAAAATGCAGTTTAATCAGTTCTTATTTGTTATCAAAACCAGGAGCACAAATGAGAGAAAAGGCTGTACTGAAAGCTTGCTGATCTTCAAACCTAGACAGTTCCTATTCTCTGTTTTGCTGAAGCTACAAGTCTTTGGGCATTGTCTGTGCTGAGAGAGGTGTAGCTCCCTTCAGCAGTGGAAAGGTCAGAATCAACAGCTTCCTTTGTTTCTATGAATTTTTTTCGCTGGGCTCAGGCCTTTGTTCTTACAGGTAGCAGGTGTGCGAGAAGCTTGGTCTTTTCTGGAAGCTGAGATTGTTTTTTTCTTCACCTAAAAAAACTTCCTGCTTGCAGCCTCAATAAGAACAGCTATGCAGTTTTTCTTGCAGTTGATTTTATTTAAAAACGTTCTGCCAGTTGCTGCAAATGCTCTTCTGAGATCCTGCAATGCAAGTGCTTTTGCTCAGTTCTTCTGTGTGGCCTGTTCCCCCCGCTATGGCCTTGCTGAGAGGCAATGCAGAAGGATATCATGCAGGTTTCCTAGTGGAGATCGTTTGTATCTTCTCATTTCCCGTCTACTCCCAGAGGTCCTGTGGTAGATCACCGAGGCTGTTGTTTTCCTTTGAGAACTTGGTGGCTGCAGGCTGTTTTTCCACTCAGTGCAAAGCTATACCCATACTTCTTGCAGAGTTGCAGAAGTCTGATCAGGCAGGCTGATGGGATATATTTTTCCAGTAACTACTGAAAGAATAGCACAAAGCCTTAAAACCTTTTCTGAGAGAGCTTTTCTCTCTCCTGAAACAGAAGAAACCTGTTGAGTCATGTCTGGGAGAGAGCTGCTGCAGCCGCAGTGTGCATCCTGCGGTCCAGCACAAAGAGCAGGGGGAGCATTTCACTTGTGTGGAGAGCCACCTTCCTTATGAGGACAGGCTGAGAGAACTGGGGTGGTTCAGCCTGCAGAAGAGAAGGCTCTGTGGAGACCTTATGTCAGCCTTCCAGTGCTTAAAGGGGCCTACAGAAAGTGGGGAGGGACTCTTTATCAGGGAGTGTAGGGATGGGATGAGGGGTAACGGTTTTAAACTGAAAGAGGGTAGGTTTAGATTAGTTGCAAGGAAGAAATTCTTTCCTGTGAGGGCGGTGAGGCACTGGCACAGGGTGCCCAGAGAATCTGTGGCTGCCCCCTCCCTGGAAGGGTTCAAGGCCAGGTTGGACGGGGCTTTGAGCAACCTGGTCTGGTGGAAGGTGTCCCTGCCCATGGCAGGGGGGTTGGAACTAGATGACCTTTAAGGTCCCTCCCAACCCAACCCATTCTGTGATTCTATGAAACACAAAACTCCCCTTGTAAACGTGACAGAGAACCACATGCATGTTTGCCTGGGTGTTGAGGGATTCTGGAGCTTGTTTGCACCCAAATCCCGGAGGGTTTCTTTCACCTTGGCAAAGGCTTCTTCAAATGAGACCTCTCTACCAGAACCTGAAGCTGCAGCAAGTGCCAGGGAAGGCACTGAGTTTGCTGTGGCTCTTGAGTGCAATGCACAGTCAGATCAATCGAAGAGCTCTCCTGTGAAGCGTGCACTGGAAGGAGGTGTTTTGGAAAGGACCTGTGACTCCTCACTTAGAGAGCAGCAATGTGGGGCTCATTTAAGAAGTCCAACATAAGATCAATGCTGCGGCTGCCAGGGGCCAGGATCTGCGTGTTACCTTCCTCTGGCTGTGCACATCAGGGAGGAAGCTGAAGAGCAGTCAGACTGCAGAGACTTTCTGCTCCTCAAAGCCATTTTCAGCACAGGGTGCTTCCATTCATGAGGGTGATACACAAAAGCCAGATCCTTACCCACTCCCGAGGGGAAAGGAGGAACATCAAGATGACCTTTCCCTGGTGTGATTCAGTCCAGCAGCTGTTGCTAACAGCCTCTAGGAGTAGAAACAAATTAAAGCATCAGTTGCAGTCTAAAACACCAGCATCTAAGCCATTGCTTAAGCCACTGTGTTAGAAGAGTGAAATGAAGGTTTTCTTTGTGACAACTTGATGCTAGCACTCCCCTCCAGCGAAGGAGAGATAACAAGCGCTAATAAAACCACTTCTCATCTTCACAGATACAGCTTTCCTCTACTTCCCTACAAAATACCTTCCCTAGCTGTCTGTGAGAGTTTTGGGGATTGGTGCTCTCTAAGCAGAGCCCTGCTTGCGTGTTTTGTGATTCACTGTGAACTGTTCAGAACCCCACACGTTCTCACACAATAGGAAGCTGTTTGTTGCTCCTCCTGGCTGGCTCCGAGCAACCAAAGGCTTCAACATTTGGAAGATAAATACATGCAGAGCCAGGAGAGGCCATTGGAGCCACGGGCTACACTGCTTGCTGCTCTCTGAATATGTGTAGGAGGAGAGATGCTATTGCTCCCAAACACAACCATGAGCTTAAGAGCAGGGAGAGCTGCTTGGGTGCAGGGAGCACCCTGTGGCATCCCTCCCTGCCAGGGCAAGGGGTGGGCTGGAGTTAGCCTGTCCCAGCTGGGCAGGCTGTGGGCTCACTCCCTGCCCTGGAGGATAAGGTGCCTCCAGCAGCATCAGTCACTTTGCATTTGTTCTGTTCAAGCTCCAGTGCTTGTGCTGGAAGGTATCTGTCTCTTTGGGTGGAGTTTTTCTGATAGTACCTGGGGTTTCTGCAAGCACTGCCCATTCCTGCTGTTCTCAGGTGCCTGCAGGGGATGCTGCATGGGGTGCTCTGCTCACAGCAGCTCAGAGACCCAGGGTAGAATGGAGTGGAAAATCTGGTCGAGGTCACCAGTGGTATGAGTAGATTAGGCCTTGTCCTTTTGTTTTTAGGACACCTTTTTCCTCCCTTTTCTTGTGAAATCACTCCTGTGTTTTGACATAACCAGCGTGTTGGCAGGATGCAGAATGGGGCAGGCAGAAGACAACGTTTCAGTCAATCTCTGCAAAGGTAAGAACAGATACAAAAGAAGGTGGGCTATTGGGAAACTGGGACTCGGGGTAAAATTGCTCCAGCAGTTTTGTTGATAATACTCAATCCTTAACACCAAGCCCTCAAAAAGCAAAGCCAGGAATTTGTGAGCTGAGTACAAAATCCTGACAGCAGGAAGCCCCTTCAGGTAGTTCTAGCTACAGGTTTGCTGTCAAGGCTGCACTTCCCTAACAGATCTTGAGGGGGTGTAAAATCCTTCGGCAGGAATTCATAGGCAGTGCTTGGAGACCCAGGGGCATTTCTCAATTGAAATATGAAGGATTATTCAGCAACATTAAAATGAGGCTTCTTCAAAACCTAGCAAGGCAAAAAAGCCTTTATGCAGCATATACAAGGCTTTAGGACTTGCCATTACAGCCTATTCCAGAAGTAAGACTGTGCTAGCAGAAGCTGGCCCTTTACCTGGCCACCATGAACATCTAATAACTGACCGAGACAAAACTTTTACAAAAAGATTTTACAGCTAACAAT